CCCCCCCCCCCCCCCCCCCACAGGCAGCGCAACACCTCAACTCTTAGAGAAATCGGCACTGTATCGTGGCTGTCCCAGATCTTGGAGTTTAGCTGAAGGAATAGCAGAACAGCGTGTGTTTTTTCTTTGCAGGGTTCCTGTAGTATAATCTACCCCCCCCAAACCCTCGTCCTAAGTATCGATGACCGTATATAAGCATCTAGAAAGACTTGCATGAACAACTGTAAAACAGTATTTCAGCCGCGGGGTTCGAGTCCCAAGTTTGTACATGGATGGATCAGGCTTGGAACGAGTCTCACATGCCAGAGCAAAGGCCGCGGCCGGTTGTAGATCTTGGGAGTCTGGATAGTTTTGGGAAGTTCAAGGTTCAGGTTTTCCCTTGTAGCATTTTGGAATCTGGGGTGCTTGGATGGCGTCAGGTCCCAGGGTTTTATGGTCCAGTGACAAAGCCCCAGTGGACACATTACTCGTCAGTGCAAGAGAACTCGTCGTATCAGCAGGGAAGTAATTCATTGGCAAAGCCATGGGCACGTGATCATGAGCTCCAGCACCATTTATCTCTTCGGCTCTTCAAGGATGGCCAGGTCCTCGTCTTGCCCAAGGCAGCAGTCGCTAGTGTTGGTTATGCTTAGGACCATCACTACACGCTCGCCGCGCCGCCGGCACTATCAGTTTTATGACGAGCACACTTATTTACACGAGAAGTCACAATTGCCGCGATCGTCATATGCCTCTGAGGATGGTGAAATACTGACATCAGCATTTGACCGTTTCAATCAGGATACATCAGGGTCACCAGTACCGACATCAACATCACCGACCGCAACAAGTAATGCACATCTTACAACCCCTGTATCTGCTATTAATGCTGTCATCAAGACCATCATCGATTACCACAATGAGCACCTCCTCCTTGGATCATCAGAGTCAGCCTGACCGTCACCGCCATCACCGTCATTACCATTACCGCCATCACCATCACCATCATCANNCATCATCACCATCATCACCACCAGCATCACCATCATCTTCATTTGATCAACATACTCCTAACCGTTTTGTCGTGGTCACTGTCTACTCCTGTCAATGTCGTTCGCTGTGTTGCAGAAGCCACAGCAATCGGGAGAAGAGCAATCCGAAACCCTAAACAAACCCTGGGCCATGTAAATCATACCCTCGACCAGCATAGATTCCTACCGACCCATCAGGCTGGGAGGAAAAGAACCCCGCAAAGAAAGTACAAGTCAGCATGGCAAGATAAGCAACACTCGTTCCTGTTGTCAGGAACTGCCTGCGGAGCCACAGGAAGGCAAGGGACGGTGCATGCAATAAGTTTTTCTGGGTTTCGGTTTTTGGGTTTAGGGTTATGTGGGGTTGCGGATTTTCGGGTTTAGGGTATGTACAGTAGGGATGGTCTCTGGAGTCTGGAGGGATCCGTTTTTGGTGAATCTGTGTCCGCTTTTGCGGATTTTTGTTGTTGGGACAGGGTGCAGGGAATCGGATTGGCTTCCCCGGCTGGCTATTCGGTTTCTTGCATGTCGGCCTCTCTACCTGCTTTTACTAGATGTTTCAGCTCTCTCTTTCGAAACAGAGGTAGGGAAATGCGTACGCACTCGTACGTATTCTGGATACTTACAATCACGGGGCTGCATAATCACATGTGGTGGTATCACAGAACCGATGTATGTATGGATGCACGGGGGTATGTAAAGTAGTACAGTCGCAGGAATACGGAAGCAGTTGTAGTAGTCATCATTGCTCTATCGTACCCTGATCGAAACAAGGCGTAAACGCTTGCCAAACCCCATAAAATAACCATAAAGGCACCGTATATCGTCTACACAAGCCCCTACAAAGCCCAAGAACCAACAGGCCATTTTGGAGTTCATGGAGGCCCTAGCGCGGGTTACAGGGCTCTCCGTTCCCGGCTGGCAGGCGCGGGCCGGGGTGCAGGGAATTACCTCTACTATTTTGGGAGTTCCTTATTATAATTGTAGTGTAGTATACCCCAAAACCCTTTTCCCATTATGAAGGCCCCTACATTATAGGGTTTCGGGATCTATTGTCTAGTGACTAGTGTATATAAGTGGAATCACAGGCTACACGGGGAGGAACACTTGATGGACATCCTTTTGCATTTGTTGAGCAGAGTGTTTGGAAGCGCTCCGAAACGCTTTCTTGTAGGGTTTGGGGGTACTAGAGGAGTTCTTTCAGGAGTGTGAAGGGCTTTGGGGTTTACCCTAATGTTCTGCAACCTTGCGGCACTGCTTGCGCTGAACCCTTGAAGCCGGAAGTCATGCCAAGCCGAGGGAGGGGCGTGGTGGAAGCAAAGCAGAAGCAAGAACGATACATTCGAAGCATAACGCAATAGGACAGGACCGGAAACCACAGGCCCCCAAGCCCTAAACCTTAAACCCCCTTGGAACCTAGGCCTAAACCCGTAACCCTAAACCCAATCTTTGAGCCTTAAGCCCTAAACCAACAACCTAAGCCCTAAGCGCCTCAGAGCCTGAAGTCCAAGACCCCCAACCCCAGAGTCCCAGAACGCAAGGCTCCCAAAGCCCCAGAGCCCTCAAGAAATCCGAAAGCCCCAAGTATGGGGGGCAATAACCCAGAATATATATATATATATAATATACACTTATATATACACAGTAATTGTAGTATGTATAATGTATAGTAGATTTCGAATCTTGAAGCAAACTCGAACCATCAAAATGATTAGAACAGTGTTCCTTTCAGACTCCTTAGTAGAATGGGTTTTGGGGTTTGGGGTTACCCCGGCCCAAACGTTTTTGAAAATCATGATTACAGCCCCTATGTCAAGACCCTAAAGCGCCTTCACCCCGACGCCCCGTAAACCCCAAACCCCTGCGTCCCACACCCGAGAGTCCCAAAGCCGGAATAAAAGCTCGAAAACCCAAAGCCTGAAGCCCTCAAGCCCTAAGATGGACGGGATAAACCCGAAAAGCCGTGAAGCCTCAAACGGCAAAGCTCCTTCTTGGAAAGGTCAGACAAACAGGCTTCTGTTACAAACCCCGAAGCAATAACATCTCTCGAAAACGGAGTCGTAAAGCCGAAACATCAGCCCTAAACCCCACACCCTGAACCGGAGTACCTAAATCCCAAACAGCAAACCCCAAAACCGTCAGGTGGCAATCCTTTTATGGGATGCTTTCTGCCGCACTGGGATTTTTGCCGAGACCTCGGCCTGGGGGTTTATGGGGGTTGTGTTCATCACAAGACGACCATTGTTTAGCAGCTGGATTTTCCGTTGATATGGTACGTATGCATGTGTAACATGGTAGTTGTTGAAACGATATGTCCCCAACGGCCATCAGGGTAGATAGTTTGCGGTACATGTTTAGGAAGTATTTATGTGTGTGTACTTACATACATACATACATACATACATACATACATACATACATGCATATGCTGCATATACATACATATATATATATATATGTACGCACACATGCATGCATGCACACATACACACACGTGTATATATATATATATATATGTATATATATATATGTATGTATATATGTATATATATGTATATATATATATATGTGTACATACATATAGTATGTGTGTGTATGTATGTATGTATGTACGTACGTATGTATGTATGTATGTATGTATGTATGTAAGTATGTATTCATGTATGTATGTATGTATGTATGTATGTATGTATGTATGTATGTATGTATGTATGTATGATATGTATGTATGATATGTATGTATGATATGTATGTATGTATGTATGTATGTATGTATGTATGTATGTATGTAGGCATATATATATACACACACATACACACATGCATACGTTCACACACACACACACACGCACGCACACCCACACACCTACACAAATGCACGTGCAAGTACACACATTCACGATGTGTGTTTGTATTTGCGCATGCATGCATGTGTTATATTTGTGCGACACATACAGTTGTGTGAGCATTTCCGAATATATACGCACATGCACCGTTACGTACGCAGGAGGCCATGTCACCATGTGCGAACGGCGTACGCTCACATGTACCGCATGCATGTATGTATGCATGTATGCATGCATGTATGTTTGTGCTTGCGTATGTACATCTTGCAACGTTGCATAGACCTATACCGTCACACCCGCAGATCGTGGATTTCAGATCTACATGTGCGCATGCCTGCAGGCAGGTCAACTTCATTCCTGCATACCGTGGAAGACAGAGTTTGTACGCAAGCATGCAGGAAAATAGCACACACAGACACACACACACACACAGGGGCACCGACGAGCGCAGGAAGATCTGTGTGCCCACATGCCCCCTTCGCGTTGGTGTGCACATACATGGTTATGCATACATATACATATATATATATATATGTATGTATGTATGTATGTATGTATGTATGTATGTATGTATGTATGTGTATGTATTTGTATAT